GACATAATTAATAAAAATTGCGATTTTTACTCCCTGGAGCAAATTTCAAAAAAGAACCTATTTACAAAAAACAGTATAACATGGTTAGTATGATGGTTAATACGGAGTATGTCTCCCGGACGATGCAATACAGGCCGTACAACGCCTAGGCATGCTGAGTATCAAATTATCAATCTGATCTTGGGGAATATTACACCACTCATCAAGCAATGCCCTCCGAAAGTCCGGTAGACAGGTGGGAGGGGGTTGACGGGCTGCATTTCGTCGGTCAAGCATATCCCACACATGCTCTATTGGATTCAAGTCCGGTGAGTATGCTGGCCAATCCATACGGGTGATATCCTCCGATTGAAGGCATTCGTCTACAATGTTTGCACGGTGAGGACGGGCGTTGTTGTCCATAAACAGAAATTCAGCACCCATGACGCCCCGAAACAAACATACATGTTGTTCCAGAATGACATCCCTATAGATGTGGCCTGTCATCGTTACACTCTGAACATGCAGGTCAGTTCTGGCACCAAGAATAATTCCTCCCCGAACGAGCCATCCTGCACCACCGTAACGGTGTCGCTCAATGGTGTTGTCTTGGTGGTAACGGGTACCTGGCGCTCTCCATATGAAAGTCCGGCGAGAATCAGACTGCAAACTAAACCTGGACTCGTCGGAAAACATCACACCAGACCACTGTTGCGGTCTCCACAATGCATGCTCTCTACTCCAGGCTAATCTCAGGCGACAGTGAGTTGCGGTAAGGGGAACATATCTGACAGGCCTACGAGCATATAGACCTGACCAATGTGCCCTAAGCGTCTGTACACGGTCCACCTTGAAACTGTCGTACCGGTAGCTGAAGAGAGCTGACGAGACAGGTCTGATGCTGGTACAGGTCTGATGCTTTTGGCAGTAACTGCCAAATACCGGTCTTCATTCGGCGTTGTAACTCGGGGGCGACCTGTGCTATAACGTCTACTCACATTACCATCATCTTTGAATCGTTGCCAAAGCCTAGAGATGACACTCTGGGTGATTCCAAGTTCCTCGGATACTTCCAGCTGGGTACGTCCACATTCCAGTCGTCCGATGATTCTGCCACGTAAAAAATCATCCAAATGCTTCCTTTGTGCCATAACTATGCGGTTATTGCACTGAAAGGATTTTAAAGCGCTTGTGAACAATTTTACTTCTTTGCCACCAATCCTTATATACCCCTCTCTTACTCTCTCGTCATTGTGACGTACTACCAACGTCATCTAGTGGTTTCCTGTAATTTGAATATTCTTCTTCAGGATGTGTGTGATAATTCCGCAGGTGAAGTTTTAATTTTAGAGTTTGATTTCCGTGTGATTCTGAATTATCCTTAATTTGTGGGCATGAGTGTATTAAAACGATTTTTTTTTCGGTTTTCCTTACTTAAATATTTAAATAAGAATATAATATTTACTTAATTTTTGACAAGTATTCTAAGTTGATCAAAAGTTGAAGTTGATCAAAAAACAGGCGAAAAATTTCTAAAATGGTTAAATGAATTTGTAAAGATGTGGTGCATAGGGGGGAATAAAGGGCATTGGCTAGCATATATTATTTTATTTTAACATCAGAGTAGTGTCATGGATTCTAGGTTTTATTCTCTACACTTCACATGAAAATAAGTTAAAAGGTAGCTTGAGGTAAGAAGAATTCAAAGAAGCAGAAATTCAAGTTCTCAAATCCATACAATTAAAAGCATTTCAAGATGACAAGTATCTTAATAAAATGCAAGCATTTAGAGATGAAAAGGCCTCAATTAAGCCTGTTTTCTTGTCTCCCAATGTGACCAGCATTCTCCAACCATTGGATCAAGGAGTTATTCAAAACGTAAAAGTGACCTATCGTTATCTCTTTATCGCAACCATCGACCAAAAAAAGGAGTTTCTCGTTACTGTCTTGGATGCCATTTTCTATGTGTACAAAAATTGGAACATGGTCTCCACCACATGCATAGCAAATTGTTTTCGTCATTCTGGTTTTGTGAGTTCTCTGAATATCGTGGATGGCGAAACCGAAGAAGACGATATTCCTCTATCTGTTCTGATGGGCGATCAGAAAAATCATGGCCATGCCATTGAAGGGGAGGCTGAATATGGTTTGATTGATGAGGAAAATGCCACCACTTCTGAAGCCACAATTTCTGAAATTGTTTCACAAGTTGTGGACAGTGACAGTGATCCTGAGACTGTAGCTGTAACCCAAACGGAAGCCTTCAATGCAATAAATGTCATACGAATTTTTTTTACAAACCATGAGGGAGCTGAGGAACATTTTGAGAAGTTACAAAATCTATAAAACATTGCTCGAAAAATGAAACCAAAAACGAGACAGACCTGCATAAATTATTATTTTAAATAAAGTAAGATGTAATGTATGTATGTACACTTTGAGGAAATTTGTAAACAGCTATATTTTAAATTAAAAAATCTAACTTTCTTTAATTATTTGCTAATTCTGTTAAAATTTATTGACTTAAATATTTAATTTATGGCTGATCGTTTTCGTTTGTATTACTATTTTTAAAAAATCATAATGTGCACTATTACGTGCTTAGTTACGAAATGCTAGTGAATCGATTAAAAGGTCACCCCGTTTATAAGGTCACTTTTGTGATGTCCCTTAGGGTGACCTTACATCGAGGTTTGATTTACCTAAAAATTTATCATTCTCTGTTCATATTGTAACAGTACTCAATTGATATTGTAACAGTTGTTAATACTCAAAAATTTGTCATTCTCCATTCATATCGCAGCAGTTGTAAACATTCAAAAATGTGTCACTATCCAATATTTTCATAATTTTAAAAATCGTTTTGTATTGAGTGAAAATTTTTATTCATCATTTATTAAGAATAATAGAGCAAGTTAGGCGAACTAATAAAAGTATTTGAAGTATTGAGTTTAAAAACGAAACTAAATGCTTCTAAAATTGAAATATTTAATAAATTTAAGTAAATTATTTGTAGAAATATTCATACAACCTATTTTTAGTTTGAGAAGTGTGAGTGGCCAGGGAAGTAACATATTTTAGCATTACTATACTATGCATGTTTTCGCTCAAAATATTTGATCTAATTTTTTATTTTATTTTATGCAGTTCTTCAACAAATGAGGCAATTTACAAGCATGATACATTGAAAAATATATATATAATTATTTAGTTAATTTAAAATTAATAAATATTTGAAATATATTTGTAAAGTTCTTCATCTATTCTGAAATTTGCTTCTAATAAGTTTTTCTAATCTGATAATGGGTGATTCAAACGCCAGAGACACAAGAACAGAAAGCGCATATGTTACAATCAGCAAACCCAAGAACATGAGAACCTGTAAGAAGGAGACAATTATTGAAGGAAATACTAATATAATATAATTAATAATAATATTACTAAGTTTTAGTGAAGAAATCAATTTAATGTGCATATCATAGAGAATTAAAATTTCATCGATTTTATTGTTTGGAACATTGTTTTAAAAAAATATTAATTGAAAGAAACTGAAAAGAAAACAGTAGTTAATTTTAATACAGTAAATAATACAGTCAACAGCCATAACATGACGAAAACACCGGATCTCGTCCGATCACCTAAGCCTATGTCTCACCAGGCGAGGTCAGTACTTGGGTCAATAACTGATTTTTTTTAAAGTAAGTATAAATATTTTTTGAGTAATATAATTTATAAATACATTCTGTAGAGTGGCACTTTTTAAAAGTCTGATTTCATTGGTATCGAGGGTTTTTTTCTAATTTCTTCATACATAATTTTGCTTCCGAAAACACCAATGTTGGCTTATCATCAAATTATTTACAATCGAAGTGTATGTTGACTTGAGTTTATTGTTGTCTTTGACGCTGAACAAAAATTTAGTGTTAAAAATGTATGTATTTCTTAAACTGTGTAATAAGTATAATTATATTTCAATATTTAAATATTTGTGTACTGTATTAAATCATTTTATGATATATAATTTCTATCCTCTTCCATTCTCTTAAGCCTAATTTGAATTTGGTTTAATATTTTATGTATGCAATGCGTTGCTCTGATTTACAAATTTACTTTATTTTAAAATTAAGTGTGGCACATCCTAAACTAACTGTTCTTATTTTAAATTGTATAGTAAAAATAACTTTACTAACTCTAATGTGTATAATACCTTAATTTTATTAAAAATTTTACTGTTTAACGACAGCAAAAAATGTGGTCAACTGCTTTACACAAAGTAGCATAGAGGAACATTATTGGCACTTCACCACAGCCCTCTTAGTGTAGAGTAGTTGCCTCTATTTTCATTGTTATGATACACGAAGACCTTTTACATTGAGTAAAAATGTTAGTGTGCTTTCCCGCTTAAAAATGGCAGCAACTACTTTACATCAAAGTAGTAAAGTGAAACACCAGAGATCATATGAGTGGTGTTTTCAATATAAATGTAAACAATAACAATCAATACCTGATCTAGTTCCGGTTAGAAAGTTTGCAACTGCTTACTACAGCTTATTCTGCGAGGTGATATTTTCAAACTGATAATTTTGTTTTCAATAAAAGAAGCAAATAAGATTATTTTCTGAGCTCAAATCTACCGTATTTTTTAAGATATTAATGTTATTAAGTAATTCTATTGAGTTTGAAGTGAAAATTTGTTTCAGTTATTTATAGATATATTGTTAAAAAAGGTGACATGGTTGCTAGATTTTGAATAACTCGCTATTTTGGCATTCTTGATTTGGCCTCTTTCCATTTGTTGATTACTGTTTGTTCTTGTTGCAAGCTGTGCACCATCTTAAGTTAGTGTTAGCACCTTCAGCATTGTAAACACAAGTATTGTTAGCATTGTAAACACAAGTAATAAGTAATCAAATACCACGTTTGCAAGAATCTCATAACACAATGATGACGTTGTAAGCTAAATGACTTTAAAATACACCGGAACCAGTAACCCGGAAGTATAAGCGGTATGGAGCTTGCAGCGTTCCGTAGTGCAGAAAACAACATCTATAATTTGTCTAAAGTAAGAACTCCCTTAGTCATTCGTCTGGACCCGTGGCGGTGACTATGGCAACGAGGTATAACTATTTCAAGTAGGGGTTGTTTAGGATAGGTTTTTGCTCGGGTAGGGGAAAGAAAGGGAATATTTTTCTTCGGACTGCTGTATTAGCCCTAGGATGAATCGAAGCTACCCTCCCAGAAATGAGCTATTCTTGTTTCCATAGTAGCAGACAGCCACAGACTTTGAGGCAGGGAGAGTTCTTACTTTAGACAAACTATAAGCATAGTGTGAGGGAGGCTCACATTTTATTTTTAAAAAACTGTTTGCTCGCCAATTTTAACTTTCATACAGTGAGTTACTAGCGTAGTGAAACACCAAGAATTTTTTTTTCTACACTACTTGGCGTAAAGTAGCTACCACTTTTTTTGCTATTTAGTAACACTAAAAATTATAATTGCAGTAAAATATCATACATATAAGAATTAGTAAAGTTATTTTTACTATACAATAAAAAGTAAGAATCATGTAACTTGAGGATGAATCTATGCACTAGTTCTAAAAATAAAATTAGTTTGTCAATCAAGCATACACGCATCACCGAGAGAATAATAAAATGGCGACTAGGCTAGATAAAATTCGAACTAGGCTTAACAGAAAAAAAAATAGAAAAATGAATGGTATGAAATTATTTAATGTAATTGATAGATATTTAAAAATTAAAATATAATTATCCTTCTCACTCAACTAAAAACACTCTTAGATTTTGAAACTGAGAACTTAAGTTTTTGTGGATGCTTAGCAGCATGAGAGAGAACAAGAAATTTAAGAAATTTAGGCCATCTTGTACTCCATTGTTAACAATCTACTAGCAATCCAGGTAGACAATGAAAAATTCAGTTTATATATTATTTAAAACTAGGTTTAGGTATTAGAACTGAGAGGTTGAAGAATCATGAAATTTAAATGCAGTTGTGCATTAGATCAAACTTGGTTATCATTAAAGCTTAAGTGTTATATAAGGTAATTTTGAATGGTGACCAAGCTGTTTTCCAAAGGCGAATAGTACACTAACAGTTTGTCTAAAAAATGGGATTCGATTTTTTTTTTACTAAGTTTTGTTCCTAGTGAAGAATTTTCTATGAATACATTTAAAATGTAATAAGAATTTTATCATTCATGAGATGATCCTCATATTGTTAACATTTAACAAGATACTTATCAGATACTATTAAATCAAAAACTTTATTGTCACGTATGCATGTCGTGCATTTATGATTTGACAGATTAATGCGTATGATTAGAGTCACATAACTGACGCAAATTTTTCCTAATAAGTTGAGCAGAAATAGGCTCATTTCAAATTAACATTTCATTTTTACAACGCTTTAATTTTATCTCAAACTATTTATGATAAAAATATTACGAGTATTTAATCACTATTAGGGCCTTGAATTAAGAATTACAATTTGTTTCTTTTTCATTTATGTTTTACATATTGGCTGAACTGGAAAAATAATATAATTGTATTATAAATTTGCCATATCACTTAGATTCAGATCAAACAGCAAGGTAAATATTTGAAGAGCTTTTAATTACTTTCTTCACAAAAACATGGCAAAAATAAAAAACGATTTCCTATTTAATATGTTTATTTCTATCTCCATATAGCACCTTTAAATGGGTTCAGCGTAGAATTTTTCAGTAACTTTAATTTTATTAATGAACTAGTAGGCTGCGCCCCCTGCTCGCTAACGCTTGCCAACCCCCTAAAATTGCTACGCAATCTTATATGGTTTTCTTCGCAAACAAAGCTCACTTCGCTGGCTACTAACTTAGGTACATTGCAAATGCACAAAATTCTGAGAATTCAAAACAATCATTCAAATCCATATAACAACTTTTTTTTTAAAAGAAAATTACATCTTTTTAGTAAATACTAAGTCATTAAAATAAATTTGAATTCAAATAAATGACATGTAATTCGTTATACCTATTAGAAATGTGCTATAGAATAAAATCTTAAAGCGTAACAGCACGATTGAGACTCAATTTTCAATAAATAACTAATAACAATAATAAAACAAATAAATTCGTGATATAAATCAAAAAAAGTCGAATAAATTCGTGATATAAATCAAAAATCGTCTAATAAATTCTTAGTATATAAATTCCTGAAAAAAAGCGCTTTCGACAAAGTACTAAAATAGAGATCTATCGACAAAGACTACTCACTTCTGCCTAGCTTAATACACTGAAGAGTCAAAAAAACTGGCACAGGCATGAGTATGCAAATAAAGGGGTATGGAGTCAATCAAAGTACAGCGCTACGATCGGCAACGCGTATATAAGACAACGAGTGTCTAGCACAGTTCTTAGATCGGTTACTGCTGCTACAATGCCAGGTTACACAGATTTAAGTGAGTTTGAACGTGGTGTTATAGTCGGCGCACGGAAGATGGGGCATAGCATCTCCGACATAGCAATGAAATTTGGATTTTCACGTACGACCATTTCACGAGTATACCGTGAGTATCGGAAATCCACCGAAATCCCCAGACATGAACAGTATTGAACATATTTGGGATGCCTTGCAACGTGATGTTCAGAAGATATCCCCACCCTCTCTTACTCCCACTGGTTTGTAAACAGCTCTGCAGGATTCATAGTGTCAATTATCTCCAGCACTACTTCTCACATAGACCGAATTCATGCCACGTCGTGTTACGGCACTTCTGCGTGCTCACGGGGGCCCTACACGATATTAGGCAGGTGTACCAGTTTTTTTGACTCTTCAGTGTAGTATGAGATTGCCGCATCTGACAGGGTGAATTTCGGAAAAGTTCGCATTTGGTGAGAACTGGTTATTTCAGTTTCCGTTTTTAAAAGCGCCATATGTTGAGCCACCTCAGCTAGATTTGGCATGCGACATTTTTAGCGGCAATCTAAACTAAACTAAAAACTCTGCTCTGGGGTGCATGAGCAGATGTTCCGGTCAGGTGGTCATCCGAACGCGGAACCCCCAGTGTTTAGTTCCCAAGCATGCTTGGTACTCATTTATCGACCCACTGAAGGGATGAAAGGCTGAGTCAACCTTGCCNGAAATATATATATATATATAGATTATTCTATCATATCGATACAAAAATCCACTATAATTCATACTTACAATTGTTTGATGAGTAAAGACAATAGTAGTTTTTAGCGATGAAATATAAAGATAAACCACAATCAGATGTATCAGATATGCGCAGTAAGTCAATCGACTCAGAGGGATGAATAGCTTATAAGATAAAATTTTATCCACAACACCTGAAAGCACAATTTTACTTTAAATAAGTATTGATGCAAATGTTTAGTTCATTTTATTCTGTTCTTTCTGTTGCGCAGTACATAAGATTTATTGATTTTTTTCTGTTTTTGTCTTTTTCTTTTCGTCCTTTTTGTACTTATTTCATTGTACAATATACAAGGGGTGATCAAATGAAAAGGTACGAAATGACACGGTGAGTACAAATGTAGACTTTATTCAAAATATACACCATAGGCTTAAGCACAACGATCCCACTGATGAACAAGCTGCAGGATTCCTTGCTCCCAGAATTCCTGTGGCCGAGACGAGACCCAGTCCTTCACAGCGTCCTTGAGTACGTCGTTCAAGTTGAAGCGCTTCCCTTTCAGACGTTTCTTCAGTGGACCAAACACATGGAAATCGCAGGATGACATGTCCGGACTGTAGGGCGGATGGTCCAACGTCTCCCACTTGAACTTGGCCAGTTCCATGTGTGTGACTCTGGAGACGTGTGGACGCGCGTTATCATGGAGCAGAACCACACCCTCCTTGAGCAACCCCTGGTCTTTTGTTCTTGATGGACCTGCGTAGGCGTCGGAGTGTCTCAAAGTACACATAGGAGTTAATGGTTTTTCTGTGCTCGAGTTTCTGTTCCTCATACGGACTGCCGCATCATTTGGAAGCTGCTTTTGATAAGAGCGTCTGCCCTCTCCTGCGCATGCGGGCGCCCGCTCATGCTCCGACTCTCGTCAGAGACTCCAATCGGATCCCGATATGTCTCGCTACGTTCTCCCATGGCAGAATATGCAAATATTTAACTGTTACGTTTTTACGTCGTTTCGTACCTTTTCATTTGATCACCTCTTGTATATATTGGGGGTGTACAACCTGCCGCCTGAGGGCCAATTGAGACCCACCGACTGTTCAAATGTGGCCCTTGGGGTTGGGTTTTTGTTTAAACTTAAATTTTCATAAATTGAAATATTTAATTAAAATTTATATTACTCTAAAATGCTTATATTATTTGTACTTTCATTCTGTAAGCTTCTTTTTGGTTAGAATTCATATATCCCCCATAATATTTATGTGTATATGTATATATATTTGATAAAATAATTATTTTGAAAAATGGAAAAAGTTTTTTTTTTTAAATTATCAGTTTTTTAAGTTTTGAATTAATTCATATTATTAAAAGTATTTAATTTTCTGCAAATATGTCATTAGGTTTACTGATAAAAATATTTAGTGCTTAGGACACTAATATTTGTATAAAAACTATCATATTTGCCGCTAACATTACTAAATATACGTGCGGCAATTTGTTAATCTACCTGCTATGCAAGTGGCCCTTTACTCAAAAATGTTGCGCACCCCTAATATATACACAGATTATTAGTATTATTAGCTTATTAGCCAAATTATTAGACGCATTATAAGATTCTGTGTAAAATCTTAAATATCAGGTGATACTATACAGCTTTATTGTTTTTACTCGACTGAAACCGGTTTGCACTTGCTTACGTTCGTGTATCATTTAGTTAATTTAGACGATGTATAATATAAATTCGATGATTGAAGAAATTAGACACACGTTACATAAATATAGAATATTTATTGTATCAGGTATTATATTAGTACGCTATTATTATTCGACACAGAGTAGTTTTCTAATAATTACATGTTTTGCACAACTTTATATGCAATACTTTTATAATTAAACATACACGTAATGGGTTTTTATTCAGGAGATTTTTTATATACTTCCTATTTGTATTTATTTTTAACGTATTGCATTACAATGTTAACTGATTGATGCACAAACGTAAACAAGTGGAAACCGGTTTAAGCTGNAGATAGATAGATAGATAGATAGATAGATAGATAGATAGATAGATAGATAGATTTAACTTTCGAAAAATCATACCCCCTTGTCCTGATAAGCAGACAAAAATCAGCCAGCTCAAACTTAGCCCATAACCAGTACGAGTTAGTGCATTATAAAAACTAGCAGCCACAAGATTTGGAGTTTGATGATAAAGACCGTAGACACAGTATAATCCAACTGGAATAGCCAGTAACCAACCAATCCACAAAGTAACCTAAAAATAAGTACATAGTCTATAGAATAAAAATATGTTTGATTAGAAATTAAACTTATGTTTGTTTAGAAATTCTTGTTTTTTTTTTTTTTCTTGTTTTTTTTTTTTGTTTTTTTTGTGCTTGATTTGTGTTTCTAACTTTCTAAATTGCATAAATAAGACAAATTTAGTTTTAGCTGCTTTTAGAGCTTTTCCATTTTCACTTATTATTATTTTAAATGCTATTTTCTCAATTTGCCTTTTTCTAAACTCGCTTAAATCAGTTTCGTTCTTTCATTGGTTATGTAAACTTAATACATGTCTTCAAAAACTAGACTAAAAATGTCTTTTTTAAAAACTGTAGCTTGGAGGGAAAAACCGATAGCAGATTTGAAATAAACGACGTGAAAATATCAAAGATATGTTTAAAAAAACTCATATAACCGAAAACAAAAAAAAAATTTCCCAGTTTAATCAATATCCACACAGTTCGTTAGTTAAAAAAAGTTTACAAATTAAACTTTTTTATTAATTTAGGTAACAGTTTTAATTTTGTAATTTCTTCCATTCGTTAAGGTCTGGTTTCTTAGGACAAGCGCCTTATCTGGGCGTCAGCGGGACGTCAACGTCACGCTGACGCCAACAAAATACTGGTTTGTTAGCTCAAGGCCTGGTTTCTTAGAACTAGCGCCTTATCTGGGCGTCAGCGGAAAGTTGACCTAGATCTGACGCCAAAAAAATACTTTTTTGTTAGCTCAGCATGAGCAGTCGGTTCAACGCAGGCATTATCTCTCATTGCGCATGCGTTAATAACGTAAACAAATATTTATTTTGAATTTGTACTGATTTTGTTATTGTCGACCAGTGTTTTAGAGAACAAATAATGACCTTGTCCAAGAAAAAACACATTATAGCTGAGCTAAATGAAGAGTGCTATGTTTAATGAAGAAGCTATGTTTAATGTCAAAATCAAACTCTTGGCTGATTTCAATGTGCAGTTGGATGTTGTCCGCCATTGCTTCTGTGGTTAACGTCACGCTGTAATCCAACTGCAGTTGAGTTGGACGGTAATTGTAGTTCAAGATGAGCGTACGATGACGTATACTATCAAACTCACAAATGGACCAATCAGAGGTTAGCGCTGATTTCCAGCTGACGGCGTCCTGTCCTAAGAAACCAGGCCTTTACTCGTTTTCTCTTTAATATTTTTTTGTTATTTAATTTTCAAAAATTACTCGAAACCAAAATTTGATTTTTTAAAATAAATTCAGGCAACAAGTTGAAGGAATGTCAACCTTCTATCCTAAAAATCATTGAAGAAATTAAATTAGGTAGTGCAGGGCTAGAATTAGACTTTTAAAAAATCAAGTTTTCTCATTTTTGGTTTAGCATTAACCATTGTTATGAACTAAACTGCAGAAGACTTTGTTTTTAAGTTTTTTTTACGGTTTGGGAACATGGGTGTAGTTTTGGGTGTTTCATGTTCGCATGCTTTTCGACTGTACTAACTTTAAAACCTTAATTACAAATAAAGACTTGTCAGAATCGAATCATAAGAAATCAGGCTAACAAAAGCATTAATAAAGAGAAGTACAACAATCTCAATAAAAAAGAAACCGATAATTTTGGAATTTCTTGAAGTTGATTTTTTTCCAGACTGAGTTTTTTTTTTTTTTTTAATTCCACCAGCGTGCGTTTTTGATGTTTTTATTATTTATTACTTTTAAAGTATTTATGTGTTTTTTATGTGATTAACTTATTTATAATTACTGTCTGGGGATTTCAATATAAACATGATCACTGAAGAAAGAAGAGAATTTTTGTGGTTTCCTTAAGGAACATATATTGGCTGAAATGGAAAACCAATCCAGCCCTATTGATGACGGGAAGGCGAACATCAATTGATGAAGTTTTTGAAACCCACGGCTAGAAGTGTTGTGATGTTTATGAAAGTCTATCCAGGAAAAAAAACATTCGACCAATGGGTAACCAGTGATCACGATAATGTCATCAAAATGTTGCCTTTTTTTAAAAAAAAAATATTTCTTCGAAACCGATAAGTAGTATTCATTCTACATTACGAACATCTAATTTTTATAAACTATTTCTTAGAAATACAGAAAAATATTTTATAATGCAGCCAGGAGTACAGTAATTATTTTTAAACAACAGTATCCTTTAAAGGATAATAACAGTGATTTTTGCAAGATTGCATCTTTATTCGATCTAAAAAAACTTAACATTTTTCAATGTTAAGTTTTTTTCATTTGATAAGACAAATGCTTCATGATAAATGTGGATGCCTTGTGAGCTTTACGCAGTTACGTCACTAAATTAGGAATTCTAAAATTATGTGACAGCACGTGTTAAAGTTATGTCTTTGAAAAATGTTTCTATCAAACTAAATAATTAAAAACAATTGTATTTAAAATAAATAAGTTATGTACTAAAACTCTAAATTAATGAATAGGTTCGTTTTGAAAAACTGCAAAAAATCGCCTAACTATTATGGATACCAATGATGTGAATTAGTTTTTGAAAGTTAGGTTAGGAAAGTTAGGATAGAAAGTTATGATAATACGTGCTGCTTTAATAAATTTTATATATA